GGCTCTGGACACTGTTGGGCTGTCTTGGCTGACATGCCTTTTCAGTGTTGCATGGAGGTTGGGTATGGTGCCTGTAGAGTGGCAGAACTGGGTGGTGGTGCCCATTTTCAAAAAAGGGGGCCGGAGGGTGTGCTCCAACTGTCGGGGTATCACACTGTTCAGCCTCCCGGCTAAAGTTTACTCCAAGGTACTGGAATTGAGGCTCTGACTGATTGTCAAGCCCTGGATTCATGAAGAGCAATGCAGATTCTGTCCTGACCGTGCAACAGTGGACCAGCTCTTTACCCTTGCAAGGCTACTGGAGCAGTTGCAGGAGTTTGCCCATTCAGTCTACATACAGTACAGGCCAAAAGTTTGGACACACCTTCTCATTCAATGCGTTTTCTTTATTTTCATGACTATTTACATTGTAGATTCTCACTGAAGGCATCAAAACTATGAATGAACACATGTGGAGTTATGTACTTAACAAAAAAAGGTGAAATAACTGAAAACATGTTTTATATTCTAGTTTCTTCAAAATAGCCACCCTTTGCTCTGATTACTGCTTTGCACACTCTTGGCATTCTCTCCATGAGCTTCAAGAGGTAGTCACCTGAAATGGTTTTCCAACAGTCTTGAAGGAGTTCCCAGAGGTGTTTAGCACTTGTTGGCCCCTTTGCCTTCACTCTGCGGTCCAGCTCACCCCAAACCATCTCGATTGGGTTCAGGTCCGGTGACTGTGGAGGCCAGGTCATCTGCCGCAGCACTCCATCACTCTCCTTCTTGGTCAAATAGCCCTTACACAGCCTGGAGGTGTGTTTGGGGTCATTGTCCTGTTGAAAAATAAATGATCGTCCAACTAAACGCAAACCGGATGGGATGGCATGTCGCTGCAGGATGCTGTGGTAGCCATGCTGGTTCAGTGTGCCTTCAATTTTGAATAAATCCCCAACAGTGTCACCAGCAAAACACCCCCACACCATCACACCTCCTCCTCCATGCTTCACAGTGGGAACCAGGCATGTGGAATCCATCCGTTCACCTTTTCTGCGTCTCACAAAGACACGGCGGTTGGAACCAAAGATCTCAAATTTGGACTCATCAGACCAAAGCACAGATTTCCACTGGTCTAATGTCCATTCCTTGTGTTTCTTGGCCCAAACAAATCTCTTCTGCTTGTTGCCTCTCCTTAGCAGTGGTTTCCTAGCAGCTATTTGACCATGAAGGCCTGATTGGCGCAGTCTCCTCTTAACAGTTGTTCTAGAGATGGGTCTGCTGCTAGAACTCTGTGTGGCATTCATCTGGTCTCTGATCTGAGCTGCTGTTAACTTGCGATTTCTGAGGCTGGTGACTCGGATGAACTTATCCTCAGAAGCAGAGGTGACTCTTGGTCTTCCTTTCCTGGGTCGGTCCTCATGTGTGCCAGTTTCGTTGTAGCGCTTGATGGTTTTTGCGACTCCACTTGGGGACACATTTAAAGTTTTTGCAATTTTCCGGACTGACTGACCTTCATTTCTTAAAGTAATGATGGCCACTCGTTTTTCTTTAGTTAGCTGATTGGTTCTTGCCATAATATGAATTTTAACAGTTGTCCAATAGGGCTGTCGGCTGTGTATTAACCTGACTTCTGCACAACACAACTGATGGTCCCAACCCCATTGATAAAGCAAGAAATTCCACTAATTAACCCTGATAAGGCACACCTGTGAAGTGGAAACCATTTCAGGTGACTACCTCTTGAAGCTCATCGAGAGAATGCCAAGAGTGTGCAAAGCAGTAATCAGAGCAAAGGGTGGCTATTTTGAAAAAACTAGAATATAAAACATGTTTTTAGTTATTTCACCTTTTTTTGTTAAGTACATAACTCCATGTGTTCATTCATAGTTTTGATGCCTTCAGTGAGAATCTACAATGTAAATAGTCATGAAAACAAAGAAAACGCATTGAATGAGAAGGTGTGTCCAAACTTTTGGCCTGTACTGTATGTTGTGTGGACTTGGAGAAGGCTTACTACCACGTCCCTCAGGGGGGCTTGTGGGGGGGACTGCTGGACTATGTACCTCACTGCTACGAGCTATCCAATCCCTATATGACTAAAGTGAGAGCTGCGTCCGCATACTCGGTGCAAAGTCAACAATGTTCTCCGTGGGTGTTGGTCTTCGCCAGGGTTGTCCCTTGTCACCGATCCTGTTTATGATATTCGTGGACAGGTTTCCGAGGGACAGCCAGGGGGAGGAAGGGGTCCAGCATGGGGACCGCAGAATTGTATCTTCACTTTTCACAGATGATGTGGTTCTGTTGTCTTCATCATCTAGCAATACACTGGGGCGATTTGCAGCTGAGTGTGAAGCGGTCGGGATGAGAGTCAGCACCACCTGGATGGATGGATGGATGGATGGATGAACGGACAGACGGACGGATGGATGTATGGATGTATGGATGGATGGGGCAGGGAAACAAGCATTACATAGAACATTACTACCTTATAAAGTTGATATGGCTATTGTACCTGGTCAGTGTAAGTCCAACATTGATTCTCCTTTTAGCTCTGTTTTGGTCTCCACCAACTATTTAGCTGCTAAATGCTTTACTTTGTTAACCATCGAGTTGCTAACTTTGCTTGTCTGACATTTGGTGCTGGGCAGGTGAAGGTGGCTGTCAAGCTGAAAAAGGGGGCCTTTTGGCCTTGGCCAGTCCAGGGGTCTCCTGAAGCAACAGGCAAGTACTTGGGGGCCAGAAGGGCTGCACCCACAATGGTTGCCAGAACAAAAACCTGAATGTGGTAGGAGTTTTGGGAGGCTATAGGGAAGGATTTTTGGTTGGCCTCATGGAAGATCTGTGCTTGCACAATGGCAGACCAGGGTTGTGGTTTCCAGTTTTATAGAAGGAGGCCTGAAATTGTGCACCAATTATCAGGTTTAATCGCATTGCTCAGCTTCCATAACAAACATTACTGCAGGGTGCTGGAAACAAGGCTCTGACTGATGTTGAAGATCCATGGGGAGCAATGTGCATTCTGTGTTGGCCCTGAAACATGTGCTTTATGGACTTGGAAAAGGCTCATGACTGTGTCCCCAGGGCAGTCCTGTGGGGGAGTATCGGGTACTAGGTCCCTTGCTACAAGCCATTAGGGTTTTTTCATAACATAAGTGGTACAGAGTCAAATACTTTGTCAGTGGGTGATGGCCTCCACCAGGGCTGTCCCTTGTAACCAACTGTGTTTGTGATATTCTTGGACAGGATCTCAAGGCACAGCTGAAGGCAGGAGAGTGTCTGCTTTGGGAACCTTTAAATTGTATCTCTCCTCTTTGTAGACAATGTGGCTCTATTTGTTTCATCAGGCTGTGACCTCCATTGCTCACTGGGGCGGGTTGCAGCATATTGAGAGGCAAATCAAACGAGAGTCAGTATCTCCAAGTCTGAGGCCATGGTAATGGTGAACTACTTCCTCTGGATGGGTAGGGAGTTTTTGCCCAAAGAAAAAGAGTTCAAGTCTTGGTATCTTGTTCACAAGGGAGGGTAAAACAGAATGTGAGATTGACAGGTGGATTGGTGCAGAATGATGAGGGCACTGCACCACACCGTAATGGTAAAGAGGCAGCTTAGGCAGAGAGCAAAGCTTCCAATTAAGTGGTTGATCTATGGCCCAACCCTCACCTATGAATATGAGCTTTGGCTAGTGACCAAAAGAACTAGACTGTGAGTACAAGTGGCTGAATTGCATTCCCCAGCAGATGCTTAATGCAAGATACTTCTGGGTGCCGCCTTTTGGAAGTTTTTCAGGCATGTGCAACTGGTATGAGACCCCAGGACAGACCCACTACAGGCTGCAGGGACTGTATAGCTCATCTGGCCTGGGAACGCCTCACTCAGGATCCGCAAGGAGAAGTCTGAAAATGGTGCTTAGGAGGGACGCCTGAACAACCATGCATAGACTGCTGAAACTGTGACCCAGCCACAGATAAACAGAAAAAAAAGATGATGGACTGTGAAAGTGAATCATAATAGAAAAGCTGTGGGCTGTTGCATTGAAACAGGGACGGGCTGGGTCACTGAAAGGTAGAATGTAATGATATAGCTTCATGTGTTTCTCAAATGCAATACAAAATGCACATAAATCATGAAATATATATATATATAAATATATATACACACATACATCCCTCCAGAAAATCTTGCGATCGCAATAATTAATGCAAATTCAACAAAAGTCTGCAATATTTGCAGGGGCTTGCAATTTTTCAGAAGTCCCACAATTTTCTGCGTTTTTCCGCATTTTCCGGCTTACCGGAAGTCGTCACACATGCAATGTCATTTGAAACGCCATCAGACGCATCATTAAATCACACTAATGGCATTGCAATATGGAGAAACACTCTGCATTGACATAAGAATTTGCACTGGTTAAATGCATACAATTTGTGTTGAATATATTAAAATGTTATGTTTACAGAAGATGTAGCTTACATGCTGTTTTACAGTCACATTGTCTGTTTGAGAGCCACAATAATTACATTAAATAAAACTAAAGAAGAGAACTATAAAAAACATTTGCAGCTATTTTTGTAATATTCTGTATGATTATTAGAGCAAGTGATTACATGGCTCTTTTTTTTTTTTTGAAGGTAGTAGTTTTGAAAAAAAAAATCACATTTTTTTTTCTCCTTTTGTCATCAGTGGCAATTTTTGTTATTTGCCACAATTTCCCGCAAAAAAAATCAAAAGAAATGCAGCAATTTTTATCGTTATTTTTGACAAAATTGGCCACAAATTCAAGGTGTTTTTTGCTGCGAGATCCTGGAGGGACTGATATATATACAGACCTATATAAATAAATCATATAAATATATAATTTTGCTATGTCACTAATTAAATGATTTATAGTGGAAACATTTTACAGTAGTACAATGCAAGTCTTTATATGAACACGGTCTACTTGACAACTTAGTTAACCGATCATGTACACATTATACAGTAGTAGCACTTAAATGCCTTTGTCATTATAGTATTTTAAGTTTTTAGAGGGATTTTGGTTTCCCCTTCCCCATCATATTCTTTTTTGTATTCTTCTCTGGTTTCAGTAAGATAATATAACATTTTGGAATAAAAATACAAATGAGCAGTCCAAAACTGGAGGCCAGGATAGCAAATATCTCCACAGCAACACTGAACTTCCCAGGAGAGCTGACATATGCTGGAATAAAGGCAATCCATACTGCACAGAATATCAGCATGCTAAAAGTGATAAATTTGGCCTCATTGAAACTATCGGGCAGTTTCCGTGCAAGAAAAGCAAGAATGAAACATAACATGGCCAGAAGTCCGATATACCCAAGCACAGCCCAAAAGCCTACAGCTGACCCCAGAGCACACTCTAAAATAATTCTGTCCTTGTATTCCTTAAAATTCCTGAATGGAAAAGGAGGTGAAATTGTTAACCAGAGGATACATATGATAATTTGTGGAAGACTGAAACCCATGACACTGAGCCTCTGCTGTGCAGGCCCAAACCATTTCATCACATTACTACCAGGAAGTGTTGCCCTGAAGGCCATTAACACCACTATAGTTTTCCCCAGAACACACGAGATACAGAGAACAAAGGTGATGCCAAATGCTGTGTGTCGCAGCATGCAGGACCACTCAGAGGGCCGGCCAATGAAGGTCAGAGAACACAGGAAACACAGAGTCAAGGAGAAGAGCAGCAGGAAGCTCAGCTCAGAGTTGTTGGCCCTGACAATAGGCGTTTTCCTGTATGTGAAGAAAATGTATGCCACAACAGCAGTGATGCATGTTCCCAGCAAGGACGCTGCAGTGAGCAGTGCTCCCATAATTTCTTTATATGATAGAAACTCTACCTCCTTCTTTACACAGGCATCTCTTCTCTCATTTGACCAGAACGCAGGGTGGCATCTCACACAGGTGATAGAATCTGAAAAATAATGAAAATGCAGGTGTTAGCCTTGCTCAGTACATTTGATGTTTTTGTCCCTATATTGCTTATTTTCCATGCATTAATTACCACACACAACTTTTTTTTTATTCTTCTCATTTTACTACAGCATAATAATACTACACCTGTAATGTTGCTTATTTCTCCCTCTGCACATGTTAAACAGTCATAGCAGCAGACAGGCTTTCCTTTCTGGAGAACCTTGCGAGTTCCTGGACGACACTTCTCACTGCAAACTGACACAGGCACCTGCAAGAACGAATTGATTATGAGAAAATATGTGGGATTCACTTTGACATGGTGTTGTTCTTGTTAGGTTCTATTATGCATTTTTAAGCATCTTAAACAAACATAATGAAAGAACAACAACTCCTGCAATATGCAATTTTGAACGACTGAAATAGACTGTGTAATTATTACAGTAGCTTACCTGTTTTGAGTTGTTTGCCCAAATTAAAGACTTATTTTGCAGATTCAGCTGTTTGTCTGCAGGTAAAGATGCATCATAAAAACCAACTGTGACAAAGTCCACAATGCCATTTTCTGTTGGCTGCCAATTTATAATTTCATACTTTGCTGCTGGGTCTCCATTCTCATTAAAGTAAACTTCCTCTCCTTCCTTTGTTTTGAAATGAATCCTTTTTATGTGTTGTAAAATCTAA